AACAACAATAGCCGATAGCAGCAATGATCTCCTTGGTGTTGGAGCTGACCTGACTGAGGTGTACGATCGAAGTTTTCCCAAGTTTGAAAATGCTGACCAACTCGGCAACTACGCTGTAGGTAGCGGAGTCTTCGCCCATCCCACCCACAAGCTCACTTTGGATCTGTTTGGCATTCACGAAACGCTTGATGATGGAACGTATTTTGATCCTTTCTCCTAAAAAGATAAAGGTAAACATGGATAAGCAGGAAAAGGGGAAAAAATTAAAATGAAACATCAATAAACTAAGAAAAACACGCTTTTTAACATGCGCTACAACTTCTACACTTTATATTGTTTTGATATGGATTTCCACGAACTTTTTAGTAAACTTAGTATGCAACTTCGGGTGTCTTGGCAGGGTTTGTTTTAATTTGGTTGGGCTATTTGAATATGGCAAAGCTCACGAAGGCTATCTGCCTAAGGTAAGAGATATCTTTATGGAGAGCTTCTAAAGGAAACTTATTCGTATATTTATGTTAATTGAGGTACTGCTGAACCTAGCTAACTGTTAAGTTTCCGCTCCAATTTTAAGGAAGAACATCCTGGGAGTGGTTCAAGATTCTCCCGCCCCTGTTCCCCGACGATCAATCTCTCAAGAGGAATTTAGGTTCGCAGTGCATTTTGAGTATCCTTTTGTCATACAGACACTATACGCTTACAAATATTCATGTCTTCTCTGGGATTCAAACTTGAGCCCATGGGTACGACATTCAACGTCACTAGCCACTATACCGGCTGGGCGGGAGCCCTCCTTGACAGGGATTTGTACCAGCTTTGTTGGTTTAGACATCAAGTTACACTCAAAAGCCACTTAATATATCATATTTGGAAGGGTAAGAAGCGCTGAATAAATTCAAAGCGAGCGCTGAGCGAAAACATCATCGAAAAGGGGATGGTAATCCCAAAACGATTGAGAAAGGATGCTTTAGTTATTAAATTTGTCTTTCTTTGAATGTTAATTAGTTAACTGACTTTGATAAAACAAGCAGATTATGTGCCTTAGGCCCAGTCTACATGTGCAAACATATTCTCCGAAAAAGTATCTCTGCGAGTCTGCGGTGCCTGCGCCAGTCCGTCTACACAAGGAAACATCCTTATCCTTATCCGTGCTAGTATTGCCGGGATATCGCGCAAGGCGCGATGTGTACGGCTCATGAAGCAAGGGCCAGTAGGCACGTGACGATAAAGTTTCCCGACCAGTCGATAAAGTCATTAAGGTGGTAAAAGGAGGTGACCATGCGTCACAGAGGCATAGAAGAGCCATAACACAAGATAAGCCAATTTCAGTAGCTGTGAGGTACACTGTGGTGTATGTTTGTGTTGATGCAGTGAGTAACAAAGACAAATCAGACAATGATACAAGAGTGATTTACAGAATACATGACAAAGTAGCATAACTAAATACAAGGCTATATACAATAAATGATACATTATGCAAAATAAAACAAAATAAGATACAAGTTACAAATTGAAATACAAGTTTACAATATGAAATGCGTAATAAAAGTACTAACATATATACAAGGCGGTGTGATAACTAAGTAGGAAAATTCAAGTCCCGAGTGAGGTGGGCCGCAAGCGGTCTATATATGGAGAAGAACAATATATTTAAACACATTAAGGTCTCCCATGTGCCTACAGTCCTGTGCTTTTCTGAAGAAGTTTGTTTTCATTCTGTGCAAATACTCCTCTACTGTCTCAAGTTTCAAATCCTTGTGAAGCGTCTGATTTGACACAAAGTAATGAACTCTGGTCATCATCCTGAGCAGTTTGTTTTGTGAAACTTGCAATTTATTGAGTTCCTTTTTATGGACAGAAGCCCAGGCAGGTGACGCATAGGCAAAAATGGGACGAATGATTGAGATGTAAATATGTCTCTTGCGTCCTAAGTCCAGCTTTGTGTCTGGGGAAAGAAGAGGTGTGAGGCATACGCCTAACATCTTACTTCTGGCATAATTTATGTACTCTTTCTACTGAAAGTCGGAGCTGTATTTAACACCGAAGTACGTGGCCTTGTTAACAATCGGCACGACAGTACCGAATAATGACAATTTCTTAGCAAGAAGGGTGTTCATTCTCTTTTTCTTGATAATGAGTTCAGATTATTATGGCATTTATGGCGATCCTGTATAGAGAAAAATATACCAAGAAAATTTAGCACAGATTTTCTCTCTTCACCTGAATAGCCGGTTAATCTCCAAGAGCCTTTTTCCGAAACATTCAGCATAAATGTTGCCTCGCCGCTTCGATGATGCACGTGATTGTGCTAAAAACTGGTGTATATTCAGCTACCTGTTATTGAATTGAAACAAAGAGCCTTCTGAATTGGACTATTGGTTCCCACTTAATGGACAGATAAAGCGATTCCTGGCTGGCTGTTTGAAGAATTATTAGACTGTAATTTCCACTCGTGATTCCTAATGATTTTTAGACGCTTCAGAAAGGGTTGTCACAGAAAGAAAACTGGGCTTGGCTCATTTCCATATGGATTGGACACTAAGGATCCTGATAATCAGGAAAAACTGTTTTCCATCTGTGAGTGAAATTTTTAAGTATATTTTCTCTCTCTCTCTTTCTTACTTTTCCCGAATGCAGAACAGCTAATAATGATTTATCAACCTGTATATTGTTATTATTTATATAAATTAAATATTACAGTTAGAAAAATTGAGAAGTTATTTATAATTTCAAGTGAATGCCAGTTTTAGGAGGATTAAATTTTGTTACACCTACTTAATTTGAAAAAAATAATGTTAATCTTAATTAATGCAAGCTGTAATTTGGTGTAGTATTATGTGTTATTTTGGCTTAGAAAAATATGTGGTAGGATTACTGATCAGTTATCCATTATTTAATTATATAAAATAGTTAAGAATTTAATAAATGTGTGTTTAAAATTTAATTGTATTTGTGTATTTATGTTGTGTATATTTTTTTGTGGTCTGTCATGTCCCTCCATTTGTTTGAGCCGGAAGGCTTTTAAGAAACATGGAGTTTAATTGAATTTGGGGTTATTGATTTTTCTTTGGCATAAGTTACTCACAACGCAAACCTAAAAGTTAAATTGTACTAACACTATACGAATGTTTATAAGAATGTCGATATAATATATGAAGATTATGAATTAGATTTTGAATGTGAATTATTTGATATTTGATTTTTTTTTTTTTTTTTTTTTTTTTTTTTTTTTTTTTTTTGTTAATTTTGTCCGGCACCATGAATCAAAGTTTAAAGTTAAAAGTATTAAAAACAAAAATTTTCAGATATAACATTTTGAAGGTTGAGTAAAGCTCGAAAAAATTCATCAATCGCCGTTGTAAGTTTGATAATTTTTTTCGACTTAAATTCGTCTCGAGTATTCATGGAATACATGGCTTTCATAGTAACTGGTTCAAATCTGGAAAGAAGTAATGGAGAAGATTTCTGCGATGGATTTGCGAATCTGTGAAAGCTCAATCATCGATAATAAAAATAGCTGCTCGAGTTTAGTCTCGACTTACCACAGAATATCAAAACTTTTCTCAGTTCAGAAATGTCCTTGTTAGTAATGTTAAAAAAATTAACACATCAATTTAAGTTCGGTATATAAGCTATTCCATTTAGCTTTTAGTATATTAGTAGTATATTAGTATCCATTTAGCTTTTAGTATTTAGTATTATTTAGCTTTTAGTATAATTTTAGTATAATAAATAATAATTCTTTCATGATTCCATTCTTATCTTATGCATGTGTATCTCCCTTAGTCTGAAATTTCAAGTAAAAACTTGCACTTAACTTTAATATGTATGGCATGGGTTCCTCAAACAGATAACTGCGCTTTGTCTGATATATTTTCTTTGCTTATCTGGGAAATAAGAAATATGTTTAGTCACTTTCATCCCGTCTAGTGAAAATAGCGAAAATATTTAATATTAAAAGTAAATTTTTAAGCCTTTTTATCTATGAATGCGTAATCGTGTGTTTGAAAAGGTGCTCTGAAAAAGAATAACTTTATTTACGAGTCCATAAATGGAAATGGTAATTTCATTTACATACAAATTTTTCAATTTGTATTTACATACAAATTTTTGTAATTTGTATTTACATACAAATTTTTCACTTTGTCTCTCAAGCAAACATCTGATTTCCTACGATCAGCTTTCCCTTCTTTCTAATTACTCGTTCTTTACTCGCGATATTACATTTTCAACAAATTATATCTCTAGCTTGTTGAGAGTTTGCTTGTTTTCTTTAACAGTCTTTAAAATGTACTTAATTTATTAAATTTTTCATTTATAGCAATATCGTATTTAAAGTTGTCCCTCATTTTTATGTTGATATGTCTGAGTATCTGAATCTCTACTATACCTATCTGAAATTATTTATCAGCAAAAGCGTATTTAGATGAAAGATGGTTTGATTTTTTTCACTTTTCACTTACACATACTATTTATTTGAATATCTATAGAAATAATAGGTAATACATATAGAAATGATAGGGATGCGAAATAAAGAATTTATCGCGACTTCCACTAATGCCAAACTGATATTCAATGACAATATGCTGAACTCCGCAATAATCTTCTTTCTGCAGATCTTTCTATAAATCGGAGTCTAAATAATCTGCTATCAAATGGGAATAAATAGACGTCTGGACAGTAGAAAACAACTGTTTTAGTAAGGAAAGCAAAATAAACGCAGAACTAATATGCGATTTCCTCTTCAGTCTATCAGGATGTTATGGTATTTCCAAATTCACGCTTAGAAGCCAAATTCAAAATCCGTTCTAAATCTCATACATCGTGTCACTGTCAAAGCTAACTGAACACCAGATTCACTGCAAATCCACATATGCAGAAAACTAACTCAAAACGGAAATGCTATGGGCGAAGTTGTCCATCTCGATCTTTGTATGCTTAAAGCGAGTCTTAGGAGGAGGGAATATATAAGGGGTATTTGTAGAAAGGATCTTACAGTTCGAACAGAAATCTAACAACTCCATGTAAAATGGAAATGTTTCTTCGTGTAATGTACTTTTGCAGCTTCTTCCTCTACTCACTGCATTTGGGCTATGGTAAGTGAATGCAAATTTTAGAAAACTTACCTATGATAAAATGTACCTCCTTAAAAGTAATGTTTTTAAATTTATGTAATATAGACGAAACTACCTTGTTCTTGCAAATTTATAACAAATCGCATGTACGCTTCAGTTGCATAGTAGCTAAAGGACCATGTCTGCTATTGAGAAAAACGGTATTTCCTGGCTACCTTAAATGCTAAGCACAATACTTTTATTCAGAAAACGACCAACCAGTGGCTCAGTGATAAGATCGTTACAGGCTTGCAGTTCGAACCCAGGTGAACGGGCTGACTGCATAGGCCTTTCCGTGTGTTTTCCTTATTACGTGTGGTCGTAAATACGAGCCAGTTTTCCTTAGAAAGCCCTCTACAAAGGTGTTCCTCCCCATAGGCAGAAAGCCATACTGTGCTTTAGTATATCCAGGTGAACTAAATTAAATCACTCGAAAATACCTAATATTGTTATTTATTAATTCAAACATAGATATCAACATTTTTCAGCATCAAAATAGGATTTTGCAAGATAAGTTAAAAAAGATCTCTTAAATCAAACTTGACGCGAACTCACTTAGCTATGTTCCGAAAGTGTTTTAGTAACTGTGCTTTAAATAAAAACGTTAAAGCATGATTTAGTTAATTATAATATGCTTGATAAAACACTTGAAAAACAGAACATAAAACAGAAAGAACAGAGGAATGAGTTTCAGATACTTTCAAATACTTTCAGATACTAATTTCATAATTACTTTCGTAAAGATTTTTACCTCTGTTGCCTCATAGCGTAATATCTTTATATAAAGGATTTTATTTAATGACAATGCAATTAAATGTTGGAATGTATTATGAACATGCTCTTTAATATATTTATTTTATTCATCAAGTGATCCTTTAAGAAAAATTAAATACAGTTTGATGGAATGAAAAAACTATTGTTTGAAAATAAACGTGGAAATGATTTTGAAATGAACATATAATTAATCTTAGCAATTTTTTGTATATTTGAATGAAAAGAAACTTAAATCAAAATTGTGTAACTGAGACTTAAATAATCCTTTTTTCATAAATCGTAATAATTATTAATGGCCGATTATTCACAGTTAACAAAATTATATTTCAGTCAAATAATTACAGAAGGATTTCTGAGTAAGAAACCTTTTTGTAATCGCGTTGTAGATAGCATAGTAATTTCCTGTTTGTGGTCCGTAATAACTTTAATTTAATCTCTAGATACAGGCTACACAATTGACTTCTATTTATCAAAACCTTTGTTCATCTTCCTATCACTTACAGAATTTGTGATACAAATATAATGTGTGTCCAGTATGTAGTCAGATTACAAAGCAAGGAAATTGTAATTACCCATGTAACATAACGTTTTCATACGTTGAGGTACATTTTATACTAAAAATTGTTCTGGAAGAGTGTTTTCGGCAGTTTAGAAATGTTCTGCGCTAAGTTCTTTTATCGTGTACTTGTTGGAAAATACTATATTACAATAGCAGCAGTGTTACTTCAATTCTTATTTTAGAAAAAGTACTTGACGGCTACCCTGCACCGGTTTTATAGCTTTAGGAAAATTCTTTTCTACTCATCTTTAATTGCTCTTGGATTGCTTTAATTGCTCCTGGAATTAAAGATGTAACAGCAGAAAAAACGTTTTTAAGGATATATGGCAAATTAAATTCTTTAACTCCTTTCATGGTCACCTAATAGAAATGCTTCATTCTGGTCATCTAAGAGATACTCGAAATACATTAAATGAATTATTTTTAAGTCTGTCACAATTGTTCCTGTGACTTAAATAGATAAGAGCTATTAATGCAACAGATAATTTTTGTACGTTTTTTACATTTGTGAGATTTGATAGTGGTATTTAAACTGTGAATCCTTCCCAACCAGTCTTTGTGAAATAAAGTGAATTATGCATGTATTCGTTAACAACTGATAATCAGTTGCGAAATGCAATAACAAACTAAGGTACTCTTGAATATAAGTAATAGAATAAGAACATATTAACTGCATATTGTTATATAGTATTGCTATAAACTAACATATTATTATACAGTATTGCTATCAAATACTATTACTTCATATATTACAGGTTTTTTATTAAAGGAAAAAACTGTACATATATATTAATTGAGAAGTAGAACAACAGCTGGTAATGTTTTCTGTCTTTCTCTTTGACAAATGCTGAATGTTCAATGGAGGTAGATCTGGACAATTACATATGACGCAATAAACTCCACTCAATTGTAAAAGTAAGAAGTATTTGATGTCCCTCAGAAGGTTAACCTGATAACACTTCAAATGGGATGTATATGATGCCATACATCAAATAACAGCTGGTTAAGTCATTTTAAATCCCGCAGAAACATATTTATTTCATATCTTCAACAGGAGAAACTCTTAAAAGATGGTTCCATTTGCCTTGGGAATATTGTTAATTTTGGTAACTACTATTAACGCTATAGCAACTAAAGTTTCAATACGAGGTACAATGAACTATTTCTTTTGAACATATGAGCGTATTTGAAGTTTTTAATTTAAGAGTTATTATTTGCAATCGTGTAAACTAGCATTTTTTAGATCAGAAGATAATCAGGCAGTTTTGTATCTAAGTAATGAAGCGTTTTATGAATTTAAAGTATATCATCTTTTTAATTTAAATTTAGCCATCTTTGAATTGCTATTTCATGAATATCAACCTTTGATTGAAAAGTAACTTACAGTCTTAGTAATTAAAAGTATTCGTTTAATATTTAATGCAGCTATTGTATCTGCACTGATACTATTATATTGATGTATAAGTCTTCAGTGACCTCGAGCAGAGCCCGCGCAGTCAAGCCTTAAGGCCTGCGCCGCACGCGACCATTATACTTCCTTGGTGGTTCACTAGCAGTAAACCATCATATTTCTATTTATTGATACTTATGATATTGTAAGAAAATAATCCAGAAAACTTAAAATAGAAAAGTTTCAGTAATATAACAAACAAGTTTAGCATAATATAAAACATTTTCCGAATTAAACTCAGCTTTATTGAGCATCAAGTATAGTTGCGAATAGAATGTTAAAAATCCTGATGCTTTGTTAATACTAAGCAGCTTTGTGCAGAATTGCACTGGCGAATGTTTATTCAATTATTCTGCAAAATCATTATATGTTACACCGCTTGGTATTGCGACTGAGAATTTAGAACGTAAGTGAAAATAAACAGCAACTGTGTTAAAGATGGATCACATAATAGTGTTCATTATTTTGATTTTCAGTGTAAACAGAATCTATAAACGTTTATTATTTTATACAGCAGAACGTAAGTTATGTAGTCTTCAAACATTTTTGGGAAGCAAAATTATTAAGATCAAAGAATCTTCTATCAAGAAATTTTTTCATTTTTGAAGTTCATATTGGTTTAAAAAAAAGATACAGTTGATAGATTTAAGAACATGGTTTATAAATTTAAGAACATGGTCAGTTAAAATTAGCTGCTATATACCTAATTCAGAAAAAATTATTATAAATGAAGTTTTGAAACTCCAAAATGAAATTTTGTAATAAAATTTGATAGCGTTTTGAAAAGTCACAAAAGAATATTGCATTGCAAAATATAATTCCTTTAAAAAAATTTTAATCTCAACCAGTGGCAGAGTAGGTGAAACTGCTAAACCCTTTAGTTCCGCCCTAATTCGAATCCCGGTGAACGGGTTGCCTTTACGAGCCTTTCTGAAAGCGTTGAAAAACTGTTATATTTTCACATCTACGATATGATCTGTACGAAATTTATAATGTTTTGTATGAAATTATGAAAATTTTAATTAAAAAACTGCATTTTGAAGAACAAAGTGTTTTCCTTAAAATGAAAAATTTTGAATTTTTGTTTTTTATGATAATTTGACATCATGTTCTTATCAGAATAAATTTTGGCAACTATCATCTGCAAGATAAAATTTGAATACTTATTTTATATTTCACTGCCAGATTAAATATGCATTTAATTCGAACACAGCTAATAGTTGGACTATGGCTCTTTTCCAGGCGAATGGGCAGGCTGGATGGCCATTTTCGTGGATTTCCTCATATGTAACGTGTATATGAACCATTTTCTGTTAGAAAGTACTCCCCGAGTGCATCCCTTTCTTTAGGTAGATAGGCCTTGCGTGCTTTGCCGTTATCAAATAATCAAATAAACTGATTTGAATACAGAAACGATTCAAACTCCAAGAAAGAGCTTGAAATTGAAGGTAAAAGTAAGAGCAATGAATATACAGAGGAAGAGTCAGAATTTAAACTTCCAACTGGAATTTGACGGAGACATAAGCAAACAAACAAACAGTTACAAACATTGTTTCGAAACTATGATTCTCTGCTTACGTGATGACGGATCATCTGGCAAACAGTAAAGTTAAATTTAAAAGTAATATGCTTTTGGATATTACAGCCACCTCATTAACTGAACATTTTGAACAACATAAAATCGTCAATGTCTAACTCTGTTTCTTACTTAATTAATCAGAAACTGATAGTTAAGATATCTGAAAAAAATGTTACGTTTTCAAATATGATAACAAGAAGACTTGTATGGATCCTACTACGGGATATATGATTAAAAAGGTATCTGCAGTACAGATAAATTAAAAACTCAAAATTTCTTCTCCAATTATCTGCATCTAATAGTTTAACATTTTTTAACTTATCAGTTTCATTTAAAATACAGTCAAACTCTGTAAGAGGACCACCCACAACTCTAAATAATTTTAGTCCTCTATGGAGGCGGTCCATATAGAGAAATGCTATTCAGGGCTGATATTTGTTTATGGTATCAGAAATATTGGTCATTTTTAGAGATGATCATTTACAGGAAATGGTTTCTATAACAGGGTTCATTGCATTTATTCTAATTATTGATTATGAAAGGGTGAATTGTCATTCCTGGAAAAAAAGTAATAACTTGTAGAGTCATTAGGTTTTTGGCGCTGGAAACGTGAAAAATGA